TCAAGAGCAACGGTGTCTCTCTGGAGACGAAGGTGCGCCTGATACAGGCCATGGCCTTTGCAATCACTTATTATGCATCAGAGAGCATAGAAGGGAGGATAGAAGGAGAATTGACGCTTTTGAGCTGTGGTGCTGGAGAAGAGTATTGAATGTACCATGGACTGCCAAGAAAACAGATTCATCCTAGAGAGGGATAATCCAGGCTGTTCCTTGGAGGCAAAGATTCTGGGGCTTCGTCTGACATCCTTTAGACATGTTGCAAGGAGAGACAGGTCTTTGGAGAGGGACATCATTCGGGGTAGAGTGGAGGGACGGTGCATGAGGGGAAGACCATCTATGAGGTGGATTGATTCAGTGACTGGGGTAATCGGGATGGGTGTGTCAGAGGCAATGCGATTGGCACAGGATAGAGCAGGTTTTAGGGCTGTTGTACATAGGGTCGCTATAAGTCGCAAATGACTCGACGGCACATAACAGCAAGAAGAAGAAGTGATGCCTTTGAATTGTGGTGTTGGTGAAGCTTATTGAATATACTGTGGAGTGTCAAAAAAAGTAACAAATTTCTCTTGGAGAAAATGTAACAAGGGTGTTCCTTAAAAGCGAAGGACATTAGAGTCAAAGATAATGAAACTCTATTATATTTGGGGGATGCTATCTGGAGGGGCCTCTCCTTGGAAAAAGACATCATGCTGGGAAAGTAGAAAGAGAGAAGACCCTCAATGAGGTGGATTCTCCAGTGACTAACATTGGACTCTAGACTGACATTGTTGCTTCTCAGTCCTCGGGAGAGATCGCTGGCAATGGATTTTCTCCGATACAATTTGTCTTTTGATTTCCTGACTGCTGGTGCCAAGAGTGTTTTTTGTGGAACCGTGTAAAATTGTTAACAACCTCAATCTTTTCTCCATCTGCCAGTTGGTCCAAAAAGTGAGAATCTTTTGTCTTCCTTGATGTTTGAGCTTCAATCCATATTGAAGACTACAGTCCTTGACCTGTAGCAAGCACTTCAGGTCGTCAATTTCAGCAAGCAATATTTGTGTTATTTGTAAGGTTATTGAAAAGCAATTGTCCGTCTAGAGACCAAGGTGCACCTGATCCAGGCATGGTCTTCGCATTTACTTGTTAGGCATCAGAGAGCTGGTCAAAGACTAAGGATGACAGAAGAGAAATCAATGCCTTTGACTTGTGATGTTAGAGAAGAGTCAGACATACCACAGACCTCCCAAGAAAACAAATAGGTCAGTCTTGGGTATGTTGAAATAAAATTTTCCTTGGAGGCTTAAGATTTTGAAGCTCCTTCTCACATTCTTTGGGCACATGGCCAGGAGAGACCATCCTTAGAGAAGGACATCATGCTTGGAAGGGTGGAGGGACAGGACAGGAGAGGAAGATCCTGGATGAGATGGATTGATAAAATAACTGGAGCAATGGGGATGTGTATGTCTGAGTCAGTGAGACTGGCTCTTAACAGGTCAGTCTTCAAAGCTGTTGTACATAGGATTGCCGTGAGTCACAGGCAACTCGAAGATACATAACAACAGCAGCAACAACAGAGGGCTTGAGCATGACAGCTAGTGAGAATAGGGTTTTGCTCTGTTTGTTCATAGGGTTGTGAGTCCCTTTGATGGCATCCAACAACAAAAAAACTTGAAAGATAGGAGGTGGGTACTAGCTAGGCTCTGCATTTTGTTTTGTTGAAGATATCTGAACTTTGCTATATTGATACGTTGTCAAATGATTTTGTAAAATGGGAAAAGCAAAACATACTATTAATTAAAAAAGCCTTTGATCCTTGTTTTCTACTGTCTTTAGAACATTAGGGCTTATTAAAATTGATAGTAAAAGAACTTTTTAAAGTGTTTTATATTTGTGTTTGCAGTAGTAAAATAAGCCTTTAATTGCCCCAGTCATAAAAAGATCTAGATGGACATAGGAGTACTTGCTTATTGTAATTTTAATCAGTAATGTGAAGTTGTACTTCTTTTTTAAGTGAGCGCCTATTTATGAGTGAAAGGGATTACTGACTGGCATATGAATGGTGGAATTAAACATTTCTAGTTCATATATAAATGTTTTTGAAACATAATTTATAATACATTGTTATTCTCTGCTGAATATAGTAGTAGTATGTGTTTCTGACCTTAAATGTTTTAAAATGAAACTACTACTCATGGACAAATAATAGGCAGGAGCTTTGAAAGATACTAAGTGACATTAAATCAAATTCTTGTTATTTAGGCCCAAACTCGTGTAAAGTTGAATTTCTTGGACCAGATTGCAAAGTATTGGGAATTACAGGGGAGTACTCTGAAAATCCCTCATGTGGAGAGGAAGATCTTGGACTTGTTTCAGCTTAATAAGGTAAAAGGTTAATGATCATCTCATTTAATAATTCTCTTGACAGATTTAATTTGATCTTGTAGCTATTATTTTAAACATATAAAATTAAGAGCCTCATTCAGTGAGTGAAGATCAAGATTTTTTTTTGTTAGAAGTGAAAGCTTTATCTATTAGATGTTGACACCTGCTTTTTGTCGTTTGTAAGCTTCACAATAATCTTGCTAAAGTTGTTTCTTTCTATTTTATTATAGATAGGGAAACTAAAGCTCAGATCTTGGGAAAGGTGGTGAACAAGCATAGGTTGAGCTGCAGTTCATTATTAGGGTGGCTTAACTCTGAAATCCATATTTTTTCAGCCACACATGCTTACCATACTTCCTGCTCCTTAATTTATGGCTATTTCAAGGTTGAGAATATGACCAAATATCCATTCATTAGATTCATTAGAAATCTAATGCTGTTGCTAAGTGCTGTGGAGTCATAGGCAACTCATAGTGACCCTATGAAGGAAAGTCCTCAACACTTGTGTGACGTTCATCCTCTCTCCAGGTTCATAGGGTTTCCAGAGGCAAGCTGTTAGAGAAGTGGATGCCACTCCTGTTTCCAAGAAATCTAATAGTTCCTTTATTTTTTTCCTCCAAGAAAATCTTGACTAATTTGAAGAGCCAAGTAGTTCTTTGGGGGACAGAATGAGTTAAAACAGAGATACTAATTTTCAAGCTTACATGAGTAGTGTATTTAAAGAATTAATTTTTTCCTTTTGAGCCAGGAAACAGTATTTTAGAATGATTTTCAACCTTGAATAGCCATGATTAAGAACACTTACTCTTTGAAGTCCTATCTAGACATGAAGTGGTTCTAATGTTTGGTGGTTTGTTTTTTTCTTCCTCTTTTATTAGTTAGTTGCAGAAGAAGGTGGATTTGCAGTTGTTTGCAAGGATAGGAAGTGGACCAAAATTGCCACCAAAATGGGGTTTGCTCCAGGCAAAGCTGTGGGCTCACACATCAGAGGGCATTATGAGCGAATACTCAATCCCTACAATTTATTCTTGTCTGGAGACAGCTTGAGGGTGAGTATTGATGTGCAAGCCAGAACATGTTTCATTTTATCTTTTTCTAGGGGAATGAATAAGCCTTTGTAACATTTGCAAAAAGTTGTTTAGGAGACCTTGTTCTGGGGATTATTTTTCCTTCAGTATTTTTGCTCAGTTTTGAGAAAAAACATATTAAAAAGTTTGTTTTGAAATGAATGAAATTGTAAATGAAAGAAATACCCTTCTACTGGGAAAAGTTGAAAAGCTGAGCTAACCTCACCACAGAAGTGTGTTGTCTTTTCAGTGAAGTGTTTCTTGTATCAGTTAGGGCTTATATTTTTGTACTCAATCCTATATATATTCCTTCCTTTAAAAAAAATGATAGTTAGTCAAGTTATTTAGATAAAACTTGTTCCAGATGAACATTATTATATAATACTTCCTACTTCTTTAACGTCTAGGAAGAAGAGTATCATAATTCATTTAGTTTAAACTCCTAGAGGTTTCCCCCCCCCTAAGATTAGAACCATAGTCTTTATAAATTGGAGGATTGTCACTGCTTTAGAGAGGTAGGAAAAGAATAATATGATTTAAAAGAATGAACTAGTAGTACAACAGTAAAGCATGTTAACCGAAAGGTTGACAGTTCAAACCAATCTAAGAGAGATCTAGCATTTTTCTTCTCTAAAGATTGCAGCCTAGAAAACATTGTGGCATCTCCGTAACGTGGCATCAACTTCTGACACCCCTCGCTATTGCCATTAGAGCTGTAGCATACTTGAATCACTGGGTGTTTATAGCATTTTGTGCTTGTTTTCCCTCTTTTTATTCTAGGTGATTTTTTTAACCAAGATAATGTAGACCAATCTGATAATCTGGAAATTATGTTTTTTAACATATGTTTTGTATGCCTATTTAGTAAGAATGGGCATATAGATTTCTTGAAGTGACTTACAACATCACATTTGAAATCTTTATTTTCCAGACCTTTGTCTAGATACAGTTGCCAACAGTAAGGTTTTTCTTCCCCAACTCTTTCTTCTTCAGTGTAGAAGTTGCAGTGAATAGTAAAGAGAGGGAGTCTGCTTACTTTATGGGTTGCAACATTTAAGAAAGTTGTGATTTATGTACTTGGAGAAGTTGTGTAAGTTCACAATTTAAAAGCTCTTACTCATTATACATTGAAGCAATCCAAAAGAAATAAGTATTTAAAACACTTTTTTAATGTACAATGAATTAAAACACAGATAAACACTTACTGAGATACCTACTATATGCCAGCTGTTGTCCAAACATATGTCAGCTATAGTCCAAGCATATGCCAGGTATAGTCCCTAGGAAATGATGCATATGCATTGTTCTGAGTTTAAAAGCATGAGGAAATTAAAGTCACTCCTAATCGTAACCCCTGTATTAGTTCATTCAAGACTTTTTTATCCATTTATGCACAAATAAAATCCCTGTAAAATTGTTCAGATAGCATTTGCCATGTCTCACTATTTCTGAAGACCTGATTTTTAAATAACTGGCTGCTGTTGTTGAGAACCGTTGAGTCTGAACTGACCCATAGCTGACACTCTTTCGGGTTTGCCGAGTAAATCAAACAGGAGGAGATTGGTCATCTTTCCCTCACGGAGTCAGTCTTGGTATCTTGGTGTGGCAGCACAACTGCTTACCATTAAGCCACCTGAGCTCTTTGTTTTTTTATTATAATTCTTTAATATTCTTTGTATGTCTTTGTTCCCATTTTTATTTTTTAAAATATTCATGAGAAAAAAGTGGAGAATATGTCCTGTAGTTTTAACAGTAAGCTGGGCAATGAAGTTGTTATTGGAAAAGGATGAGCTAGAGCTTGGGCCATGTTGAGCAGTCGTGCACTGATAGAATGGAACAGAAGCCTCTGTCTTGCATCACCATGTTTTTTAAATGTCTTAAGGGATTACTCTGTCTCGAAATGGTAATTGATGGTAACTGATCATCTCCAATTCCTAGCTTCTCAAGTACAAGTTAAAATTAGAATCTGTGTAATAGCATTAGATTTAAAATAAACACATCAACTGTACTTTTAGAAGTTTAATTTAAAATAAAATAATAAAGCTCTTGATATCTATTTAAAAAGGGAGTCTGATTTTACTTTAGGTCTCCACAACCCTTAAAGAACTAAGTAGATCATAGATTGTAGGACTAAGACAAGTTGGAGCAAGTAGTGATCCACCTGTGTAGAACCTGAATGTCTCTCCATCAGCTTAATAAACAATTACTATTTTCTCAGTTACACTTACTCTGTTTTCCTGTAGAAAATTCATGTGTAGAGTTGAAGACTAGTTTAAATTGAGGGTAGTGTTCGTACTGTCATTGTTGTTGTGTACCATTGAGTCAGAACTGGCCCATAGCTGAACCTCCAGTGGATTTTCTGAGTCAGTTAATCACGAAGGAGGAGATTCCCTGTCTTTCTCCTGAGGATCATTTGGTGGATTTGAATCACGTGCATTTGGAATTGGAGGACATTGTGTTACCACTAGCTTACCTGAGTTCCCTGTTATACTCCTACTGAAAAAAAAATTAAAACAAAAACCAAGGCTTCCCAGAACCAGTAACATTTGTCAAATGTTATAATTTTTTTGCCATATTATGTCCTATACATATTTTGCTTAAAATTCTCATTTGAGTTAAGATTTATGGACTGTGTGTTGTGTGTCCTGTCCTTTTTAAAGACTTAAGTAAAAATTTTACAAGCCTAAATAAGGACTCATTCTGTGCCCATTGTTGTAGTTGTGTATCATCGAGTCAGAACAGACTCATAGCTGACTCTCCCACCAGTTTTCAGATGCATAGGAAGACCTTGTCCATCTTTGTCCCATGGTGCAGCTGGTGGTTTTGAACCGTATACCTTTGCATTGCCAGTACAACTCCTTATCTCTAGGCTACCAGAACTTCCTACTGGTCAGTAATCTGTCTTCATAGTAAAATGATTTCACATCAGTGCTCTTTTACCCAGCTAGAATTATTTCAGGGAGCTTTGTTGATTTAGTGATAAGAAGTTGTACTTTCAACTCAAAGGTAGGTGGTTCAAATCCACCAGCTGCTCTCCAAGAATTAGATAAACTCTGCCTATGCAGTTTACTTTCACTGAAAACAGAGGGTCAGCTATGGGTTGGTTATGACAATAACAATAGTATTATGGACTCAATATTTATTTTATAGATGAAATAAATGTCTTTAATTAGAATGAATAGAATATTTGATATTCATAGTGTTGTGCATTGGTAGGTTTATTACTAGTTGAGACTGTCAAGTCATCTCTATCAGTAGTAGTCTTAACTGAAGTTGAGTCAGAACCGTCTCTAGCAACCCTTGAGCAGTTGTTATAGGTTGCATCATGCGGGAGACTTTACCTTTTTCTCCTTCAGAGCAGCTATTGTTGAAATATGTACTGACTCATAGTTGACCCTCTAGAGTTGGTTAACCGCACTGAAATGAGTATTAGATTTTTGTGTTACCATTTTGTATCCTCTTTCAGCCAATTTAAAATCAAACTGAAAAGGAAAAATCAGAAAATACACCTTCCTGATTAGAAACAAGTTACTGCTGTGGGGTCTCCTTGTTTTATAAAATTAGACTTCACTTTGGTGATCTAGTGGGGAGCTGTCAATCCAAAGGCAACACCATTCTAATCTACTAGTTACTCAATGGAAGACAAAGGCTATTCTCTTCCCACGTGACTTACAGCCTCAGAAAAACCAGTGGAGGTAAAAAAAGAAGAGAACTCAGACTTGGCTGGTTCTCCTTGACAGAAATGAGAGAGGAAGGGAAGAGAGAGAGGGAAATATCTTAGAAGTCCCAGTAAGGGAGTTGTTATTGTTGCTATGTGCCATTGAGTCGTTTGCGACTCATAGCGACCCTATGTATAACAGCCATAAACCCTGCTCTGTCCTGTGCCAGTCGCATAGCCTTTGACACACCCATCCCGATTACCCCAGTCACTGAATCAATCCACCTCATAGAGGGTCTTCCTGTCCTGCGCTGTCCCTCTACTCTACCCAGCATGATGTCCCTCTCCAAAGACCTGTCTCTCCTTGCAACATGTCCAAAGTATGTCAGACGAAGCCCCAGAATCCTTGCCTCCAAGGAACAGCCTGGTTTAATCCTCTCTACGATGAATCTGTTTGTTTTCTCGGCAGTCCATGGTACATTTAATACTCTTCTCTAGCACCACAGCTCAAAGGCGTCAGTTCTCCTTCTGTCCTCTCCCTAGTCATTGGTGGGTTGGTGGTTTTTGCAGTAAGGGAGTACCATTTAGTAGAAAGACCTGCTTTCTCAATTATGATAATATTATACACAGTCAGAATATTGCTAAATATATCTAAAATGACATGACAATGAAATAGAAATTGTTTTGTGTTCTTTCCTTGCTTACTCCACTTTTTTCTCCCAGTGGAATTTCTAATATGAGCACCTTTCTAACAATTGGACCTTTAATTAATTCACAGTTGCACATAAAGATAATTACAGCAAGTTCATTGGGAGTGCCCTGAGCTTGCTCTGGCCTGTTGTAA